TAAAGATTGAATAAAAGTTATTATCGATAAGAATTTTCTTTGTTCATTACAAAGTCAAAGAGACAAAGAAAAATAATAAGAAGAGAAAGAAGAGAATTGTAATTCATGTTTATTTAGTTACACAATTTGTATTTATATAAAAAGTTGTAATTTACTTTTTAGTTTAGAATAATGTTATATCCAACTTTTATTTCAATGATAAAGATTTTTACAAATGAAAATGAATGTATTAAATTTTTATTTAATAATAATATTTTGTATAAACCTATAGAATGTAAAATATATAAAGCAAACTTGTTTAAAGATAAAAAAAGATTCATATATGTAAATAAAAAATACAGAAAATCAGTTTCAATATTCAAAGATTCCTTCTTTTCAAAAGGACAAACGAAATGCAATCTTACAATGATGATTGGTTATTTTTGGCTATCTAAATGCAATTATTATTCTATTGAAAAAATGACAGGCCATTCACCAAATACAATAACTGATTATATGAAATTCTATCAAAAATTAGTTATTGATAGTTTAAAAGATTATGAAGACAAAATAGGTGGTAAAGAAATTATTGTTGAAATCGATGAATCCAAATTTGGAAGAAGAAAATTTTATTATAGTAGAGTTATTGATGGTATATAGATTATTGGTGATATTGAAAGAACAAAACAAAAATGATGTTTTCTAATAAAAGTACAAAAACGCGATAAAAAAACAATCAAAGATATCTTAGATAAATATATTAAAAAAGGATCTATTGTTCATACAGATTGTTGGAAAGGTTATTTGAATATTGATGAACTAGAATTCAAACATAAAACAGTTAACCATTCAGAAAATTTTGTGAATCCCAAAACAGGTGCACATACAAATAACATAGAAGGATTGTGAAATGGCATCAAGTTATATATTGCACCACAAAATCGAAATAAAGACTTAATTGAATCATACTTATTCGAATTTATTTGGCATAAAATAAACAAAAACAGACTCTGGGAAGCATTTATTTAAGTACTACATTCTACAGCATATTACCAATCTGATGGTATTACATGTAACTATTGCATGCATTAGTACATACTAAACTATAGTTCAGTTGGACAAGTATAAGCATTATTCTTTTTTTATATAAGATTATGAGAAAATTGATTTTTTTAAAAATAATTTTCTTTTTTATAAATTGTATATACTATTTTGATTTTTATATATTTATCTAATTTGTATTTTATTTTTTTTTAATATTAATAATAAGGCCATGCCTCTATCTTTATTGAATATTTAATTGAGATTTTATATAAAGTATAATTCTATTTTTAAAATATTATAAAAAGAATAAAAACTCAAACTAATTTATCTGTGATCTAAACCAACAGAAGTGACCAAGGTTAACCTAGATTTGAGTATTAGTAATTATATATAAGGAGCTAGTTTGATATTTGATCTATTAAATATACTAAGAGTTTATTTTTGAATCAATAAAATTGAATAAAAGAGAATATAGTTGAAGTAAAACAGGACTTAATAATGAGTTGTATTTAGAAGCTTTAGTTGTAGATCTTAAAATATAATAAGAGATTCAGATTTAATAATAAATTTGTTGATTAAGATATAATATAAACTTTATAATAAGTTTTATAGTTATTTTTTTGGTTTGTTTTTATTATTTTTTATTTATATTATTAGTTTAAAATAGTTAAAATTATTATTATATAATATAAATAAAAAATTTTTTATACTACTTGTTATTTATAGAAATAGAGTGTATAAATAAATTATTAACACCATTTAAGTTTATATTAAATATTTTAATTTTAACCATATCTAAATTACAAATTTATCCAAAACTATAAAAATACCCCAAAATCTGTTCATATTTATTAAATTAATTCAAAACTAGCACTAGTAAACTTTAAAAAATTAAACAATAAAATGTCCAAATTATACGAATTTCTACTTTGTTTAATACCAAAATTTATGTCTAAAAATAATATGTCAAAAAATCAACTTTTAATAAATCAACTTTTAACAAAAATCGATCAATTAACTGTATCTCTTGAGGAACAAAAACAAGAAAATAAATTCATAAAAGAAACTCATATTAATGAAATTGGTCTATATAGAGAAATAATTAATGGGAAAACAAATAAAATTACATCAAAAACAAATAAAATTAAAAACTTAACATCTATGAACTATGAATATGGTAAAAGATTAAAAGAAAAAGACAAAAAAAAAAAAAAAAAAAAAAAAACTCTTTCTGCAAATCCATTGCACAAAAATTAACTAAAAAATCGTTCGTCTAAAAATACTCATAACTATTTATTTTACTAAGACAATCTGTCCTGGCGTCTTAAGTAAACATGTTCAGCATCGCATTTTACATATATCCTGAGAATATTACATCTCTAGAGTTTAAACTCATTGAGAAAACTGTACTG